TTTGGAAGTTCATATGCTCGATTAATGGCGCAATTTGCATTTCTGGCATTGTTTGATGTGATTTGAGACCTTGAGCGAGTCCGTGTTAGGTTATAGAACTTGTTTGTGTGTGCAGACGTGGTCCCGGGGGCCTCCGGTGTGTTTCGGACGAGTTTCAGATGTGTTGCATGGTTTTGGAACATGTCTGATTTGTGGTGTTTTCGCACCTGTGACCTTCGAGCGCAGGTGCAGATCCGCTTCTGCGGAAGCCTGGTCGCATCTCCGATCATTGAGACCTGGAAGCTTGTTCGCTTCTGCCAATACTGGAACGCAAATGCGAAACCGCTTCTGCAATCGGTCTATCGCATCTGCGAAGGAGTCCGCTTTTGCGCTCCCGTTATCGCTTCTGCGGTTGGTCTATCGTCATGCTATCTTTTCATAACTGCTTATCTTTAATTGAAATTGTTATTGTCTCATCCTATGATTGTTTAGTCTTAATTGGAGTGATGATTATCTTCTACTACTTGTCAATATTTGAATTGTTGAATATCCTTCGCAATTTCTCAACCTTAAAAGCAGATAGATAACCTATATCTTAGTTGACTCGCCTTTATTTGGAAACTATTTGACTCGTGTTGGCTTCCTTACTGTTGACTAGTATATTGTGGGGTCGTTGCTACATGTTTGTCTTTTTCCTAGTTGAACTGTTACCTTTATGCCTAGTATTCTTTACCTGTGGTTATTCCTTGTGAACTGGTTCTACCGTTTCTTTGTGATTTAAAGTTCTTGAGTTGATTTACTCGCCGTACCTTCTTTTATTGTCATTTTTTCTGTTGTACTTGTTGTGGTGATGTACGAGGTTTCTGCCGTATTGTAACTGTTATTTCTGTTGGTTGCGCTGCATATTTACTTTGAGACTACGGGACAGTATCCCGATAGATCCCCCTGTTTTGCATATTTACTTTGGGACTACGGAACGTTATTCCGGGAGATCCCCCTACACATTTACGTTTGGGACTACGGGACGATATCCCGGTAGATCCCCCTGTTTTGTATATTTACTTTGGGACTACAGAACGGTAATCCGGTTGACCCCCCTGCACATTTACGTTTGGGACTACGGGACGGTATCCCGGTAGATCCCCCTGTTCTGTATATTTACTTTGGGACTACGGGACGGTATCCTGGGAGATCCCATGTTATTATCATTGTGTTCTGAGTTGTGCTTTTCATTGATCCTACCCCTGTGTAAACATTCTACGTGCTGTCCATTCTTTTCCTTATGCTTACTAGCTGGTATGAACTATGTTAGGACATTTGCACAAGCATATACGTGGCTAAGCACCCTTATCGGATAAGAGGCTTCTTGATGTCGCTGAGTATAGACATACACCCTTGTTTATTTGCCTTCCATGTGAGAATGGCTCTATTTGGCACGTGAGTTGCCAGTATGATTATGAGGTGTGATGAGGGCACAGGATGCCAAGGGTTGGGTTCAGGTATGGAGACCCGTATTGTATGATTATGAGATGAGGTGTCACAGGGTGACTTGTATTCGAAGGATATTTATTTGGAAAGATTATATTCGAAAGGTATTTATTTTGAAAGAACTATTTTTGAAAAATATTTATTTGAAGGAAGTATATTTCGAAATATTTTATCACTTGAAGGATTTGCCTAATTGATTGAAGTTTATTGGCTGAGACCTAATGTGAAAACTGCCGTAGTTGCTAAGTTATGACTTGTCTTTACCGTATTTGTGATTTCGGATTTGGGTTGTATTTCCATTCGTTTTTCTGTGTTCTTATTATCGTGTTCCGGTGTTACTTCTTAGTTTCTTTCCTTATTGCAATTAGCGTATTATTAGCCACATCGCGTAGTTTTTATATAGATATCATGTTCTGTTGTTTCTATTCTTATACTTGTTCAGCTTATTAGACCAGTAGGTGTCCTGACTGTTCCTCGTCACTACTCCATCGAGGTTAGTCTTGATACTTACTGATGTGCCGTAGAATTTCGGCACATTTGATACCAATTACTTAGATTTTAGCTCGTCTCTTAATGCATTTTTAGTTAATTCTTATCAAGTTTGGTTGTTTTTTAGTGTATGAGACTTGAAGACCCAAAAACATGGAAAAGAAGTCAAAATGTCACAAAAAGACAGAAATGCTGCAAGTATGCGACCGCATAAGTGAAAGGCGGACCGCATAATCCGCATGATTACCGCAAACTGAAGCAAAGTGGCTGGTCAAATGAAGAGAAAAATATGCCCCATTATGCGGTCGCATAACACTTTTGGGAGCCGCATAATGATCGCACAATTTCAATTGAAGAAGCTGCTCAACACATCTGCGATGGGAAAATGCGGTTGCATAACAGATATGCGGACTACATAATTCATATGTGGTGGATTCCTAGGCTTTCTGATCTACTCATCTGCGACGCAAACGAAGATTATGCGGACCGCATACATGGTCTGCGACCATTATGCGATCGCAGAAGTCGTCTGCAGGGGCAATTTTGTCCGATTTTGACCACGACTTTTGGTCTACTATAAAAAGAATAATTAGGGTTTTTGTGGGTCATTATGTCTGTAAAAGGGCCTACCTTGATAGCACTGAATACTCCATTAATTTGGAAGCTTGTGAAGAGAGAATCTTGCACTTTTGTAAGCTTTATGACTTTATTTATTGGTTTGTTCTTGTATCTTAGCATGAGTAGCTAGTTTTAAATACTAAGGTTGTGGACCCTAAATGGGTGTAATGTTAATGGGTGTTGAGCTTGGAAGCAACCTGCTATCTATCGATAGGCGAGAACAGACTGCTATTGACTGCTTCGCCTATCTATTCTATTATGGCCGGCTTGGAGACATCAGAGGAAGACCATCATCTCTATCCGGGTACGATCATAGCTTCATTCATTCGTTGAACCTTGAGGATAACATTGAATATATATATAATGGTTGGTTGATATTTATTCATTTCTTGTGCTTTATTTATGGTGGGTGGTTGCAAACATTAACTTACTCCATCTTATTCTTTCCTTACTTGGAAAAGTGGGTTAGGGTTTGGTAGAAATGAATATCAAGAACTCAAGACCTTAAATCTTGTTTAATAGAATCGCTTAGGAATAAGTGGGTTGTACTTGGCATAAATTGGTTGTTCTTAAAACTCTTTTATATTTGGGAAAATTATAAGAGAAAATACTACCCAACCATTGGGAAATATTGGGTAGTAATTTAGAAACCATTTGTATATCAAAGGGCCTTCCATTAGAAATATATCATATTAACACCGATAGCATTACATTTTATTGACGGGGACACAACCTTGGTTTCCTTAATCAAATTATTCACATTCTTATAACAAAGTTAGTCATCTTATTAAATCACAACTGTATCATTCTCTTGTTAAGCTAAAGGAATAAAATTACCACCTAAGTCATGTTTCACACTACTCAAGTAACCTTTTCACACCTATTCCCTGTGGGATTGGACCCCAATCTTATTGGGTTATTATATATGACACCGACCACCTTACACTAATTAATTAAAGTTTAACTTGAGCATATCAAATTTTGGCGCTATTGCCGGGGAATACTGTTTTGAAATTACTAATTAGTGTGTGCTTTACTTTACGTCTTCTTCTATTCCATCACACTTTTCTTGTTTTGCTTGGTGTTGATAGGAAAACATGGCCGAATGTGACGAAGAAGATAATTCTTTTGCGGACATAGATGAGTACATTGAGGATACCAATGTTATTGTACCTCCGAGAGTTGACACTGCCACTTTCAAGGTGGAACACAGTTTAATCCTAATGCTCAAAGCAGAGGGGATTTTTAGAAATTCCACCGATGATGATCCGACACAACATCTCAGAAACTTCTTGGGCGTGTGTGCGATGCAGAAGTAGAACAACATCTCAGATGATTCCCTAAGGTTGAGGGTGTTCTAGTACTCACTAGCTAGAGAGGCGAGGAAATGGATTCAAAATCTACCGCCAAATTCCATTCATTCTTGGCCTGAACTTGTCCGAGCGTTCCTAGCTAAATGGTTCCCGCAAAGCAAGAAATCTGAGCTCCGGGATAAAATCTTCATTTTCAAGCAATTACCGGGAGAACATCTACATAAGGCTTGGGATCAGTTCAAGTTATATTTGGTGAGGTCACTGAATCATGGTTTTCCGGATTCTATCTTATTGGAGAAATTCTACATGGGTTTGGATGCTATGAATCAATCTATAGCCAAGAATGCAGCTGATGGATCCTTTATGGATAAAACATTTGCGAGGATCACACAAATCTTATACAAAATGGCAATACATAACCAAGATTGGCACTCAGAGGATACCACGGGTGGAGTTGCATATGGTACTCCTTCGTTGACCAACATGATTAAGGAGAACCAAGAAAGAGATCAAGTAATTGCCGGGCTTGCCACCAATGTCAATGTGTTGACAAAGATGTTCACTGAAAGCCAAACAAAAAAAGTGAATGTGGTGGAAGATGTTCCACCCACATCAAATGAAGATTATGAGGAAGCAAATTATATCAACAACTCTCAAAGAGGTTATCAAAGGCAACAATACCAAGGTTCAGGACAACAAAACCAATGGAGGCCGAACCCGCAAGGGCAAGTTAACCAACAATCGCGGAATGACCAAGGTAGTGCAAATCAAGGGAATTGGAATAACGACAACAATAACTTTTCCAATCAGAGTTCAAACCCCTATGTTCCACCAAAAGGGCAATATTCAAACTCTCCGCATTGGAAGGAAGATTCTTCAAGTGATTCCAAGATGGAAAACATGTTTGAATGAGTATTGCAAAATCAAGAAAGATCCGACACTTTAATGAGGAATACGACCGATCTTGTGGGTTATCATACCGCATCTATTCAAAAGTTGGAGATGCAAATGAGAGACCTCTCATGAGAGCAAAATCCGAAGCAAAAGGGTACCCTCCCAAGTGACACTATTGCAAATCCGAAAGGTAGTGGATATAGTCCAACTTCTCAATGTATGGCAATCACAACTCGGAGTGGGAAAATACTTCGAGGAGAGAATGAACAAGTGGTCGAAGTGGAAGATTCCGAACAAGAAGTTGAGGCACAAGTTGAGGTGCCGATTGTTGTTGAAGCTAAAAAGGTCCCGGAAGAAGTGAAAATTCAAGAAGTGAACCGGGAAGAGGTTAAGGAAAAGGTGAAAGAGATGCCAAAAACTCTAGCACCAATTCCTAGACCTCCCCCTCCTTTCCCTCAAAGACTTGCTAGGAAGGTTGATGATATCAAACTTGAGAAGTTCTATGACATTCTCAAGCAATTATCGGTAAATATTCCATTTGTGGAAGCATTTCACGAGATGCCGGGTTTTGCTAAGTATTTGAAAGACTTGATCACCAAGAATGAAGTGGTGAGTGTGACTCACCGGGTTAGTTCTATCATTGCAACAACCACCGTTCAAAAGAAAGAAGACCCGGGAGCTTTTATCATTCCATGCACTATTGGGGTGCGTGATTTTGCAAGAGCTCTTTGTGATAATAGGGCTAGCATCAATTTAATGCCTCTTGCTATTTACAAGCAAACGGGGTTAGGTATGCCGAGGCCTACAAGTATGAGGTTGCAAGTGGCCGATCGTTCAATAAAGAGACCGGTGGGAATTGTTGATGATGTTCTTGTTAAAGTGGGAAAGTTCCTCCTCCCCGCCACTTTGTGATCCTTGATTGTGTTGTTGACAAGGAGATCCCTATCATCTTGGGGAGACCATTTCTTGCTACCGGAAGAGCACTTATGGATTCAAAACGAAATGAGATCAAGTTCCGAGTTAATAACGAGGAGGTTACCTTCCAAGCAAGCAAGGGTATGAAGTTGCCACATGCTTATGAAAGCATCTCCGTCATTGATGTTGTTGATGAGGTAGAAGATGCAATTGAGATGAAGATGGAAGATCAATGCCTTGGTTAGGCGTTGACGGCTATTTTGGTGAATTTTGATGGTGAACATATAGAGGGGTACAAGGAATCAGTGAACGCATTAGAAGGACTTGGGTCCTACACTTATGCTCCAAAAAACCTTTCTCTTGACTTAGAGAATAGAGTCACTCCTAGCGCCAAGCCTTCAATTATTGAGCCGCCGCAACTTGAGCTCAAGCCACTTCCACCACACTTGAGGTATAGATTTCTTAGCTCTAATGACACTCTATCGGTAATCGTTTCTTGTTTGTTGAATGATGTGCAGGTAGAACAACTGTTGAATGTCTTGAGGGAGCACATGCAAGGTATTGGGTGGACAATAGCGGACATCCGAGGGATTCCCGCGAGAATTTGTGAACACAAGATACAATTGGAGCAAGAGAGCAAACCAAGTGTGGAGAATCAATGCAGGTTAAACCCTTCCATGCAAGAGGTGGTAAAGAAAGAAATCATCAAATGGTTAGATGTCGGGGTGGTCTACCCTATTGCCGATAGTTCTTGGGTGAGTCCAGTGCAATGTGTGACAAAGAAAGGAGGCCTGACCATGATTCAAAAAGATAAAAATGAACTCATTCCAACGAGAACAGTGACCGGATGGAGGGTTTGCATGGATTACCAGAAGCTAAACAGTGCGACTTGCAAAGATCATTTCCCTATGCCTTTTATTGATCAAATGCTTGATCGGCTGGCGGGAAGGTCATTCTATTGCTTCTTGGAAGGATATCCGGCTATAACCAAATCAACATTGCCTTGGAAGATCAAGAGAATACGACATTCACATGCCCATATGGGACTTTTGCCTTTAGCCATATGCCTTTTGGACTATGCAACGCTCCGGCTACTTTCCAACGGTGCATGATGCCAATCTTCTCAGACATGGTAGCAGATTTCTTTGAGGTATTTATGGATGACTTCTCTGTAGTGGGTGATTCCTTTAAGCGTTGTCTTGACAACCTTAGACAAGTGCTCAAAGATGTGAAGAAACAAACCTTGTGCTAAACCGGGAGAAATGCCACTTCATGGTGGACGAGGGCATTGTTTTGGGCCAAAAAATTTCCATACAAGGCATAGAGGTTTACCGGGCAAAGATCTAAATCGTTTCCAAGCTTCCTCCACCCACTTCAGTAAAAGGTGTCCGAAGCTTTTTGTGACACGCCGGCTTCTATAGGCGTTTTATCAAGGACTTCTCAAAAATTGCAAATCCCATGTGCAAGCTCCTAGAAAAAGATGCAAAGTTTTTACTTGATGAGAAGTTTCTAAAGGCTTTTGAGGAATTGAAAGAAAAGCTCACCATGACACCTATTATTGTCACACCCGATTGGTCTCTTCCAATCGAACTCATGTGTGACGCTAGTGGTGTAGCTATTGGAGCGGTACTTGGCCAACGTCATAACAAGATCCTTCACCTTGTCTACTATGCAAGCAAGACACTTAATGGCACTCAAATGAATTACACTATAACTGAGCAAGAACTTTTCGCCATTGTCTATGCTTTTGAAAACATTCGGGCTTATTTGTTAGGGTCCAAAGTGATAGTTTACACTGATCATGCTGCTTTTCGCTATCTTATGGAGACCAAAAGAGGACCTTGAGATCAATGATCCTTTCTAGATGAGCACATATTGGCATTGTCTAGCACATTCGCTCCTTGTTATACCGACATCGCTAACATCTTGGTTAGTGATCTTATTCCCGATGGATTGGAGACTTATCAAAAGAAAAAGTTCTTGCAGAAATTTAGGCAATACTACTGGGAGGAACTCTTTTTGTTCTGAATTTGTGCCGACAACATCATTCGACGGTGGGTTACGGAAGATGAGGTAATGCCAATTCTCAAAGCATGCCATGATTCTTCGGTTGGGGGTCATCATGGAGGAAATCAGACAGCTGCAAAGGTGCTTGAATGTGCCTACTATTGGCCATCGATCTACCAAGACGCAAATCAGTCAAGGCATGTGATCAATGTCAAAGACAAGGGTCAATATCTGAAAAACATGAGATGCCTATGAATTTTGTACTTGAGGTCGAGATCTTTGATGTGTGGGGGATAGACTTTATGGGCCCTTTTATGAGCTCTTATGGCATGACCTACATCTTAGTGGTTGTGGACTACCTCTCCAAATTCGTCGAGGAAATCATGTTGCCTAACAATAAATCAAGGAGTGTGACCGCATTCTTGAAGAAGAACATATTCACGCAGTTTGGTACCCCAAAGGCCATCCTGAGTGATGGTCGTTCTCATTTCTGCAAAAAGGCTTTCGCCGGGCTGCTTGAAAAGTATGGCGTGAAGCACAAGGTGGCCACACCCTCTCATTCTCAGTCGAGTGGTCAGGTTGAAGTTTCTAACAGGGAAATCAAAAACATCCTAGCAAAAATTGTCAATGCAAACAGGACCGATTGGTCAAGGAAGCTAGATGATACGCTGTGGGCATATCGCACTACATTTAAGACTCCCATTGGCACTTCTCCATTCCGGTTGGTTTTTGGCAAAGCGTGTCACTTGCTAGTGGATCTTGAACACAAAGACATGTGGGCATTGAAGAAGCTGAACCTTGACTAGGCCGAAGCTACTAATCTGAGAATGACACAACTTAATGAGATGGAGGAATTCCGTCTCCATGCCTATGATAGTGCAGCCATGTACAAGGAGAGAATGAAGTTTGTCCATGATAAGAAGATCTTGAAGTGGGAGTTCAATTCCGGTGACTTGGTCTTACTCTTCAATTCAAGACTCAAGTTCTTTCCGGGAAAACTTAAGTCCAAATGGTCTGGCCCGTTCAAAGTTGTGAGTTTCTCCCTCTATGGTGCTATTGAATTGGAGTCAGAGGATGGAACTTGAACTTTCAAAGTTAATGGTCAATGAGTCAAGCATTACCTTGGTACTAAGGAGAAAGGCTTGATAGAACAATTTGCTCTAAAGGATAGTCAGACAACAGTGACCACCAATGAATAGCCCAAATGGGGTCAACTGCGTCGTTCCACGATGTTAAATCAAGCGCTTCTTGGGAGTCAACCCATGTGTGGTAGCACTCTTTTGTAGTTTTTCATTTATGTAGTTTAGATTGAGCAGGTTGACGTGTGTGTTAGAGTGCAGGTAGTCCCAAAATATCATGAACAAAGTCCTAGTGTTGAGGAAACTGAAGGAAAGAAAGGTCCAAAGTTGGGGACAACTACGCGGTCGCATAATGACTATGTGAACCGTATAGTCATCGCAGACACAGGCAGAAAAATTGGTTAACTTGGTGTTCAAAAATGCGGTAAGATTTTCACTTATGCGGCCCGCATAACAACTTGCGATTGCATAATGCATCGAAAAGTTAAGTTAGGCTGCCTAGTCATTAGTCCATCGCACAACACATATGCGATCGCATAATGTGTTATGCGATGGACTTACGCGCCGCAAACTCGACAGGTACAAATCCCTAACCTTCCGCATTTTCATCCTCACTCTTATCACACACTAACACTTAAACAAAATCAAAAGAACAAAATTTTTTTTTTACGAGCAAGGAAAGAAAAGAGAAAAGATCAAAAAGTAAAATTACTCATAAAGCAAGGAATCCAACTCCCACGAAGCATATCGATCTTGAATAATCTCGCTCATTTTTGTATGATTTTCTCCTCCCTCTCGTAATTGTAATCCATGCTTTTTTCTTAATTCTGAGCTCCATGGTCATTTCCCTGGTCCCTTAATTCCCTATGATTACGGTTAACCTTGTGGTGAAGATTTGGGTTGAGTGACTGTGTGTGTTAGTGTTGATGAAACGAAATGGGGGAAGTCTGACTACCCCTCTTAAATCGACTAAGAGGCATGGCCTATAACAACAATAAGGAATCTAAGTAGGTAGTATTAGGAAAGCATGTGAGTGTGATGTGCATGTGGTGTGAAGAACATGTGAGTGGGGTGTGCATATTGAAAAGAAAAGAAAAAAAGGGAGGGGGCACTGTTTTAATGAAGAAGACAATCTTTGCGGGCCGCACAATTGGTTTGCAGACTGCAAAGTTGTCGCAAAAGACCCCTAGGTGATCTACTGCAAAAAGGTTATGCAATCGTGTTTGCGATCGCAAACCATTTATGCGGTCCGTGTACGTGCCGCAAACAGAGACAGACCATTAGCCCATCTGGTGAAAAGAAATGCGACCACTTTACGGTCGCATAACTAAATATGCGGTCGCTTTTGCGATCGAATAATCGTTTTTGCCTTCTGTGTGTTGCACATCTACGATGGGTTTACGGACCGCATAGTAGTTATGTGATCGCATAACCCGTCGCATAAGCTACTCACTTCTTTACTTTGTCTCAATGTGATTCCTATGCTATTTCACCCACTCACACATTGTTTCATCAACAGGAATGGCACCAAAGAAGTCTCTTCCAACGCGATCACCACCCGCTCGTGGAAAGAAATGGGTTGCTACTCCGAGCCAACAAGCATAACAACCTAAACATCAACGGGCTCAGGCAATTCGCATTACTTCTGAGCACTCCTCCCAGGCTGAAGAGGAGGAGGCACAGAGTGACCTCAGGCCATCTGTTGACCTACATGCTGAGGCACGACCGAAGCTAGGAGAGGATCTTAATCTCAGGTTTGGAGTCACAGGCTCCATGAACCTGTATAAGGAAGGTCTATCAAAGAGAAATATTCTCGAGGAGAAGCAGCTAAGTCTAAACGGGCTGAAGGAGCACTACCCTCATGTGATCGAGAACATCAAGCAGAGGAAATGGGTATTCTTCACTGAGGTCCCTGATGAATATAATGAGACACTTGTGAGGTAATTCTATGCTTCGTATGGTGCATCAAGGACTACTGAGCATAAGAGAAACAGGATATTTGCACAATCTGTCCTAGTTTGAGGGGTCCAAGTGCTCTGTGATGACGCAACCATTAATGACCTGTACTTTGAGGAGTGGAGTTCAGGCACAGTTGAGTATGAGGCTAGGGTAGCTAACAAGAATAACGAGCGTGCCTAGATTGCCTCTGTCATAGCAAAGGGGTCACCAACATGGATTGACCCTAAATACAAGATCTCACACATGAGGGTCGATATTGTCTTAGTTTTTTCACATCCCATCTGATGCCGTCTAGGAATGAAACTGACATCAACATTGAGAAGGCACTCCTCATTGCGTGCATCATGACAGGCATAAAGATATATATGGCAGAGATTATATTCAGGGATCTAGGGATCAGAGCAAACCAGAAACAAACATCACTTCCCTTCCCATGTTTGATCACTGCTCTTTGCAAAGCTGTGAATGTGCCTCCTATGCCAAAGCATGATAAACTTGAGAGAGCTCTCAAAGATATTGACTTAACTCAGATAAGTGACGCAATAGATAAGGAAACTGCAAATCAACTAGAGACATCAATTCCTCCTCCAGCAGACTCAGCAGCACCAGAGGTCCCAGCACTCCCTGACACCTTTTAGGCCCCAGCTACCTCCACAGCTACTCCACAGCCTACCACTGCACAGCCACATCCACATGTCCCCTTACTAGCTCTGTCCAAGCTGGGTCTACTAGCTCAGCATGCCAATGCCAAGGTAGACTGCTGATGAAAGAAATCCCAAACCTCATCCCACAAACATTGATCCATATCCAATCCTCAGTGAGTGTTTTTCAACAACAGCACAAAACTTATGAGGATCACCTAAAGCACTTTAAAATGCGTCTTGAGAAGGTTGTGCGGGGTGGTTGGAGGTCTGCCTCGGCTCAGGAAGGATGTTGATGAATTGAAAGCAGAGCTGAAGAAGATGCAAAATTTGGAGTTTGACTTGACCCCCTTCCTCCCGAAGGAAGGTGAGCAGGGTGTTGGCACTTCCACTCAGGGAATGGACTTTGATTTCACAAACTTGATGACAGCTCCAGAGGCACATAGTGTTGAGACCTCAAAGGCTCCATCTCCCCCTGTACACATTGATGTTCCTTCAGAGGAGGGATCCGAAGATACCGCGGAGTCTGATGAGAGGGATTTAGAAGATGAGGAAACATATGAGGA